GTAACTCGTGCATTAGGAGTCCCATCAGGCTTCAACATGTTCACTGTACTAAAAAACAGCAGCAGAAAATGTCTGGAGAACTCCGTTTTAGCTAAGCTGCACGCTGAAACTTGCTAAAGGTTGAAACATCAAAAATATATGTACACAAATACACACATATTAGCTTAAATTGACTGGTAAAGTGTAGCAGCTCTGTTTCATTGTTACATTTAAAAATGAAATACAGTAAGCAGAGTTCGTCCGCCCGGAGACCCAAACTGCGTTTTTTATCTGTTAGCCATTCAGTGGAAAGGATATGCATAATCATTGTCTCACCTGTTGCACATAGCTTATCAAACAGCCTCTGAATGGAGAAACAGTTTGATTCTGACTGGATTAACGAGCTAATGGTCTGGATGGAACCAAAACGCAAGTGGATTGTTGTCATCTTAAAACTAAACAAAAAATTCATAAAAATTTGATGCAAACACTATTTTAGAAACTTTTACTCGGCCAACAATTTCCCACTGCACATTTATTCTGGCAGAAATATAATATTTGTGTCAATAGTGTCCCTGGCTGCACTGAAAGTGCTACAGCTGCTGCTTCTGCCACACAGGGTCTCAAAATAAACATAAACTTCTATAAAAATAACAGTATAATGGAAAACTGATGGCAATATAAGGTTTATAAAATAGGGCTTGCATGAACTACAGTTCAAGCTTCAAGATGGCAGCAGTCTACGTTCTTGGCGCTAGAGCTGTCATTTCTAACCCGAAACTGGAACCCGGCCTAGATAAGGCCCTTTTGTTGGGCTTTTAATTGTATCAGTGAATGCGCGTGGCTGATGATCCAATTAAATGGCAACATGGCTTGCCATACAATCATCAACCGCAATCGACCATTTGATCGCGGATTGACCGGCCTTGAAAGAGGTAAAAAAAAAAAAAAAAAAAAAATGGTTGGTGCTGCAGATGGGACTATATTGCCAGGCAGCGATCCATTCAAAGCCCAAATGGACGTTCATTCAGCCGCTGCACTCAGTGGACGCACGCGGCCGATGATCCAAACAGGTGAGATCACAAAATATCCGACATGTCAGAGCGGGCTCCGTGTCTGAATGATGCAGAAACAGGGATTTAATGCGCTTTGACGGCCATGAAAAGACAAACACCCCCTCAGCTCCGATCTTCTGCCCACTTAGCCGCGCGCGTCCGCTGGCTGTTAATAACTATATAAGCAGTCAAACCTTATTATTATTATTTTTTTCCAGGTTCGGACCTGTAATTACTGTTAATTCATCGGGTCGGGTGGGATTTGGAAATTATGGCTACGGGCCGGGGCTGTTTTTTTCCGGCCCAAATACAACTCTACTTGGTGCTGCTTGGGCTAGCCGTTAGCTCGACACTTCAGTCAGAATTAAACTGATTCTCCAAACTGAGTTTGTTCAGAACGGTAAGAAATTATTTATTTGTTCAGCCTTTCTACAGAACCCTGCTTCAAATCATCTGAACCACCCCGACAACAATGCGCGAGGGATTTGTTCACTGGGAGGTAAGAGCTAATTGCAGCTTCCAGTCAGGTGAGCACAGATGTTAACTGGGTGATGAGATGGAAGGAAACAAATGTACAGTTAGCTGATCTGACCTGGAAACAAGCTGAAGGGTTGGAAGATGGAAGACCACAATCATCAGCAGGCATTTATTACTGGAGAACAAAATCTAACCAATGTATGGCTTTAATAACACTATTTCACTTCTTTCGCCAGCCTCTATTGTGCAAGGTCAAGGTAACGGAGTTTAGACCTGAACACACTAACACACTGCAGGACAGCTCCGGCTGTAGCACCGTCTGAGCAGGTTCTTCGTCTCAAAGCCCCTTTGTGTGCTTTGCTTTAGATACGATTACACAGAAATCATGGAATCATTTGGAAGCTTGGTTAAAAGGCACTCAACGTACGGTTTGATTGTTACCTAAACATCGTCAGGCGTGATGCTCAGCTGCAGCGTGCGCACCGTCGGTAGCATGAACTGCACTTTCCTATTTGCAACCGTCTCCAAACAAAAAGCTCCTTCCCTTTCAGGAGGAAAAGGGGTCTTTTGAGGGACACTGGAGTGGATCCTATTGCCCCAGAGGGAGACAAATTGGGCCCGTCAAGCCTCATTGCAACAGTGACTGAAATTGGTTTGTGGTTCTGCTTTTGCACCATCCAATAAAGATGAGAAACCTCAGAGAGAGAGAGAATATGTGAGAGAGGAGGCAGAGGCAGAAAATGAGAGCAAAGAAGCCTGTTTTGGCCATGGCACATAAATGGTGCCAGTGGGTTGATTTCTAGAGCTGTAGCAGCACAGAAGGGAACAGCAGACATGAAGTCACTGGAAACCTCATGGAAAGACTGGCTCAACCTGTTGGGATAATGAGGGGTGTAGCAACGCTTGGGGCGGGGGTCTAAGATGAAGCCATCAACCTGACGTTGAGGCTGCTCAGGAGTCCATTTAGTCCCCACGGATCTGCTGGACTCAAACTGGGCAAATGAGCTGTTCAGGGCAAAAAGTCTTTTTCTGTTCAGCTTTAAACAGCTTGTACCGTTTCCTGTTGGAGCTACAGACATAAATGGTATTTGGTTTTCAGTGGTGTGAATGAAAATAAAGTCTGTCGATTCTTTAAAAAAAAAAAAAGTAAATCTTTGATGGATTCTGTCAGCACAACAGAGATGATAAAAAAGAAAATAATTCCACGTTTTAAAATTTTAGACGCCATTTAATCTTTACGAGACGCTAATAAATTTGTGGAAAAATTTCTCGCCTCACCATAAAATTGTCTTGTTACGATTATTCAGGTTTAAAAAGCTAAATTTAAGCACAAACTATAATCTTTGACAAACTAAACTTTGTTGAGGAAACCAAATTAAACCTTTATCAGCGTGATCCTGTTAAGATCCGTAACATCTTCTAGTAATCCAACAGTGGCTTCTATGTTTACCAGTTAATAATTGCAGCTCATATTTGCATTAAATAGGGAGTTTGAAGCACGCTGAAGATCTGATCTTACCAAATGGTTTAATGAGAAACGATCTGCTGGGTCAGGCTGCAACCAAAGGTCTGAGACAAGACAGGAAGCTGGAACAGATATCCAGAGACTTTGATCACTGCTTTGCAGGAAGAGGCTCTTTGCTGCTGGATTTATTAAAGAGAAGCTTTGAAGAATCTTAAAATGACACTTTATTCTGGCATCTGGGTCAACTGGGATTTTTAATTTTTACATTCACCGGAAAAACAACCTCATTAAAGTTTATGCAATCATTACTTAAGTTGTCGAAGTCTGTGTTGGCTCGTTTGGGACTTGACTAAAGATAATGATCTACTTTAATATCAGTTATTATTTAGTAACATTTCTCAGTCTTTTCCTAAAGCAGGGCTACTCAACTAAATTTAGGGGGGTGGGGGGGGGGGGGGGGCAGTTACTGAAAGCCAAGAGCTCAGGGGCCGGCATCCAGCAGTTATTGTCATTAAATAAGTTTGTTTTATGGTTTAAAATGTAGTTTTATTTAAAAATGAACCCATTGGTGGGCCGAAATGAGTTGATCCGTGGGCCTGATTTGGCCCCCAGGCCACCAGTTGAATGGTCTTATCCTAAAGTTTTCTCTGCAGGAGCTGAGCGAGACGTGAAGACACCAGTAAAAAATAAAAAAAAGGTAAAATTGACGAGTCACATGGTAAATACGGTCTGATATGGGTTTGTAAGAGTCTGTGTGTCGTGTGCACACACAGGTTGTGGGTGTGTTTGTTTTCATGCGTGTGACGGTTTGAGGAAAAAAACAAAACAACAACCAAAAAACGAGATATCCTGAACTCTGTTAAAACACGTTAGGACTGGTCCGGCCATCACGATAAAACAAACCTCCCCAAAATACAAAAAAACAAACAAAAAAAAAAACAACAAAAAAACAACAGCAGCAAAAAAACAAAACATGAGGATGACTGCAGCAACAACAACAGCAACAACAACATTAATATCAACAACAACATCAACAACAAAATCAAACTGAAAGAGAAACAAAACAAAAAAACTCTGCTTCAGAGTGTCTCTTCATCTTTGGTATAAAAATGGCCGCCCACGGGCTGCATTTGATCCACAACTATGAAAGACTACAGAAATTGTCAACAATTTCTTCTATTGCTTCTGCACTGATTGGTTTGAACCACAAGCTCCTACTGACACTACTGTTTTTTTATTTTACTGCCAGATTTTTTTTTTTTCACTATTTTTGCATTTTATATATTTTTTTTCACCTTTTTTATTTTCTGCAGCGTGACAAGCAAAGCGGGCTAAAAACATCGTAAAGCTCATAAAAAAGGCAGATAAAAAGCACTAATGTCATCGACAGCGACGTTGCCATGTAAAATGAGAATGAGAATAAAAAACAAGTTCAGCATTTTGCTCCGCGTGTTTTCCTCGTTGTGTAAAATCTCTTCACTGCTTCCCACCCCCCACTCACCACTTCCCTCCCAGACATTTTTACTTCTCACACTTAATTACCTCTGACATAATAATTATCAAAGTTTTCTTCTAATGAAGAACAAAAAGCTTTTTCTCTATTAAATCTGTACAGCTTATGTGATAGATTCTCTCTGTTTTCTCTCTTTAGAGCGACTCATTCGGCGTCTTGTATTCAAGACGAGACAGTTTGCTTTATCTCCCCCCCCCACACACAACTAGACGTCAGACTTTAACTCTGTAAAAAAGTTTCTGGCGCCCTTCAAATTAAGGCCATGAAGATTCAAGAAAGAAGAACAAAAACAGACTTTTAAAAACAAAAAACTCCACTTTGTTTGAGTATATCTAGAAAACTAAGATTTAACACTAGAACATAAAAAAGACTGAAAAGAAATCGTAGCTTAATATCTGAGGAAGACAATCTCTGTGTGTTTCAATCTGGAGTCCCCGTTTCTACTTACAAAATAAACTTCACCTACCTGCGTGTTCAGCCTTTTTTTTTGTTATTTTGTCCTTTTTTGTTGTTTTTTTTTTGGTCATTTTTTTTAATTAGTTGAGAATTTTCTTGGAGAAACTTTTCAGGCTTCAGCTCAGTCCTTTAGGCAGCTTTCCCAGACTAAACAATTTCTTTGCACGGTGCCCAGTAATTTCCCCTCATCCCCTTTTCCTCAGAACTCGTCGCCTCAGTCTTGATTTTTTTTCCTCTTCTTCTTGTAGACCAGGTAGGAAATGAAAAAAGTGTCTCTTCTTCTTCTTTTCTTTTATTTTTTTTGGTGCCTGGGCAATCTGGAAGTAATCTTTTCTCTTTTTCTCACATTCACAGTGCAGCCACCCTCCGTCTCAAGGCAACGCTGTCACAGGAACATTCGCTCTGGCCGTTCGCTATCTGATAAAAGAAGAGCAAACAGAAAGGTTGCCGGGGCTGGAATCAAAGCACAATTTTATAAACGCAGAAGAGCAACAGAGCTGACAGCTGACAACACAATAAAGAGCTAAAAGTGCTGCTGAAATGACAAGAAAACGACAAGCAGGAGTCGTTTGAATCATTTTATAACGGTGCTAAGCTTCATTTTAAGATCATCATTAAACTCTTGGACAAAACATTTATTATTGTTGAACATTAAAATAACTCGGCTCACAAATACTCCTTCAAAGTCTGAGGGAAAAAGTTTAACATTTAACTCCGTTATCATGCATATTTGAATAGAAGATGAACTGATCTCCAGGAGGAAGTGTGAAATATGAGATATTTAAACTTTTTATGTACTTTTTTTACTTGCTTGTGAGCGCGTCAAGACATGTGAGCTCATCGTTTCCCCCGTAAACTCAAACCACGCTGAGCCTGACAGGAGGTGTTTGTTAAAACACGGATTTTAGACGTCATAATTGGACTTCTTTATGTAACCTGCTTCCAATAATCTGCCGTGTTTCCAAGCAGCTCACGTCTGACAGTTAAAATAAGAGGAACGAGAAGAAATTACAGATTTATTTAAAGTTTTTGAGCCCGTCATCAACAAGGGAGGAGGAGGAGGAGGGATTTGAAATGCCCTCTGTGCATGTTGTGATTGTGCTAACTGAAAAAATAAGTGAGGTACTGACTTCTATTTTGGTGTGTGGCTACAACTAGGTGGAAGAAAGGTCACCATCTATAATTGGGTTGTTAAGTCAAAATTCAAGACGGCCACCACCATGTGGCTGTGTCAACAGGCCACCCCAATCATTGGGATCTGCAACCTTTACGATCGAAAGAGCCATTTTTATGCCTTTTTCACTCAGTTAAGTGTCCAGAGCTGCAACAACCTGCTACAACTGTGATTATCAACTGCTGGCCCATGGGCCACATTAGGTTTGTTGGAAGGGGCTTTTGTCGCCAATAGGGGTGACATTATAAAGCTAAAAATATCTAATGATTTTTAACTTTTATTGATATTTTTACAATTTAAGACAAATGAAAAGACCAGATTCTTGTAAAGAGAAGGGGCTGCTTTTTAATTACTGTAATAAAAACTATTAACTATGCAGACCTACGTAATTTTTTTTTAATCGTGGAAAAATTAATTAAGTATAGAAATAAAGCATAAAGTTAAAGCGAGCATGTTTTACTTCTTGTACTAGTTCTAGTATTCACATATTTGCAAAAGAAATGACAATAAAACAGCTAAAACCAGTTTTTTTGTTGTTGTTTGTAGAACAACCACTAAAATTCAGTTTTAGGTAAGTTTTGGTCAAAGCTTGAAAGAGCTGCTGCAGAGGGACCAAAGAGCCGCATGTGGCTCCAGAGCCAAAGGGTGCAGAACCTTGGACTCCACCATTGCACCTGGTGGTGGATAAAATTGCGCCCTCTACTTGCCAGGATCCATCACTCTGCGCTGCTTCAGACAAGCAAAAAACCACAACAACAACCTCTGTTCTTCTACACGGTGCAACTCCCACCCACTTGAATATCTTGCACCAAAATGTTAGGGCTCACTTGTTTTCCCACTATCAATCCCAGTCTATAAAAACTTGAAAATGACAAACATTCACTATTCAAATCCCTCAGACATCTGCGTACCGCTTGCCATCTCTACTTTACGATGTGGTCCGAAGGTGGCGGGTAAAATGAAGCGTGGAAGAAGAAAACTGCTAGACTGAACTGCAGGAAAAACTAATCAAAGGCTGAGTTTGACTTGAGAATACAACGGTGAAATTTATTCAGATTTTAGAGTGTCTGCGGCAGTCTTCAGAAATAAATTTAGTAAAAATAGATTGTTTAACTTTGCACAAAAGAAAAGCTTGATTGGAGCATATTCTAAAAGTAAAAAGAGTAGCATCTTTTAAACAAAAGTATGGAGAAAAGATAATTGCACCTATAATACGTTTTTGATCCACTGTATGCAAAGATGCTTGTGGTGAAGTTTTAAACTGGTCTCTGCAGTCAGCCGAACTAACCCTCAAAACAGCAGCACATGCAAGACCCTCCAGAACTAAAGAAGAACAACCCCCCACCCCATTGGACCAATCGTTCTGCTTCAATATCGGTTTATAAGGTACGACACTAAGACGTTATTACCAAGTCCTGAACATACATCAATCCAAGGTTTTCCTTTTTAAACTTAAAAAAAAAAAGATCTATTTGCACTTTAGTCTTAAACCTTCTGGATATCAGTTCACCTTTGATTTATTCAACTACTGAGAACTGCAGAAATTTAACCACACGTTTTCAAAGTTAATGCATTTATTCGTCACAAGGAAACTCTTTACACATTTTCAGAACAAATATTGTGAACCAAAACTAAATCAAAATGCCTGACAGCATTGATGCACAACGTACAGTAAATGTTGTAAATTGTTAAATTTGTCCAACCTCATAGCTGAAGTGTTTACGGTTTCTAGATACTAAGCCCTGAAAGGTAAATTTGACACATTCCAGCGGTAATTTCCTGAAGAACTTACTTAGACTGGTATGAGAAAGCAGGAACATGGTCGGCAGCACTGTCCACCTGGATCTGTTGCTGCTGGCCCGCCACCTCCTGGGATGAAGGAGCCACAGTCTGGGGTGAGGTATCTGTCACCACTCCCTGAAAGTGGGGCAGAAACACAGCAGGAAATGTCGCAGTTTAGAACAAGAACTACGAGAACAAGGAACAATAAATTTTACTGGGCGATTAATTGTTTCAGAAATTACTACGATAAACGATAATATTGTTTGAAATTTAACAATAATTGCCAATTTTTAGAGGAAATGTTGATTTGTTTGGGGTGCAGTACCTTTTTTGACCTCCTGATGGCAGTATAAGACTGTTTAAACCAAAATATGGATAGTTGAGCAGTGTCTCTTTAAGAAAAATGGGAGGGAGGGCCCTTGACGTGACATGGGCTGGTGACATGGTGGATGCTCGGTGTTTTGAGCTCTTTAGCATAGCATTTTTCACACAAAGCTTTTAATAAAAATAAAAAAATCAGTAAATAAGTTCTCAGCTTCTTTTTGCAAAGAAAAACAACTTTTTACACAAAGGCACGGGTTTCAATTGTGAATTTTGGAGCTTCGACAAGATGGAGGTTTATTATTTATATTTATATTTGTTAGCTTAGCTTGTAGCATAGCTTCTCAGCTTAGCTGCTTTTAATGACCCAAAAACGTGATTTTGGACTGTTAAAACGAATTTAAAAGATAAAGGGAGGAATCAGTGAAGAGCACCCGAGTTGAGCCTTTTGTCATCCCGTGTCCAGTAGAAAGAGAGACACGAAGAAACTATAAAGCCGATAAATGTAAATAAGGTTGATAATTTTCATTCATCATGCGATTGATCGATTTATTGTTTATCACGAAAGGCCTACAAGAACTCCTGGTTCTGTGGGACAATAAACATGTCTGACTCGGAGGTGAAATGCTTCTTGTGTCATTTTTCCACATTTCATGTTAATAAAAATAGATGTGTTGGAATTTCAGTGGCTGAAATGAAAAGTTAGAAGACGAAGGACTCATTTTGTCACGGACCAGTAATTTCATTTGAAGTAAGAAAGATGTTCACCCTCAGTAAAGGCAACTTTAACATAGACATCTGTGCATGGGAACAGTACGTGTTTGTGGTAGAAAACTTCTTTACAGATGGCTCTGTGCACTGAATCCATCAAAACAAGCCTTTTAGCCTTTTTATGCGTCTAGAATTACTGATTGCCCCCATCACTGAGTCATCTCAATCACCTTTAACAAGCTCTCAAGGATAAGTTGTCCTGTCCATACATCAGCCCTCCAGACACGAGCTGATACGGTGATATACGCCCCGCTGCTGACACTGGCACTGAGAGGACAATAGAAGGGATGGAATAGGTGGAAGGTGCTGTGGGCTATGCTACAACTACATCCCTCTTTTCCAGCCCACTCCCTCATCCTGAAGACTGCAACTTTCTGAGGAGGGGGAGTCTAAAAGGGGAACATAGGAGGAGAGAGGAGCGACTAATGGATGTGTCAGGGGAAACTCATTGACCGGAGGCTGGCAGGCTAACCAGGCCTCCGCAGCTGACGGATGTTTCAGCCCCCTACCAGCCTGGACCGACTGTGAGAGGAGAGGGAGAGAGACAGTTCTGCTGGCGCTGTCTCACTTCAGCTTCTGTCATCTGATACACGACTGATAGACCATCTGAATATGACCGCACTGTCAGCCGCCAGACAGCTCGCCTGCTCTCCCCGTTGTCCATACCACCCGCCTGCCTACCCGCTCCCCGCGTTCATCAATTCTCTGCGTGGACCGCCTGAAACTGCCAGGAGCTCAGACAGCCGCCGAGGAAACGAGGAAATCTGTGCTGCGCTTCAAATGTCTTTCCCAAACACTATAAAACTTCTGACTCATTGTGCTTTGCTTGCATTATTTGCCTTCGGTGCAAAGTCATTTATTTGGAGGGAACAGAAGAATATTTCTGCGTCTGTCATTCGACAATGGTTTGGATTTTTAGATGTGAGAAAGTTTTTGTCTGATTAATGGTGATGCTATCCTCTGTAGGTAAACAATAACACACGTCTGAATGTTGTTAACTACCGTGTGCATGCTCGCAGGTCTTACTTCGACAGGGACGGCTGTTGGAGGCACAGGAGTGTACTGGGGAATGTAGGTCCCTTGCATAGGTGCCGCGGCAGCTGCAGCAGTCATGTACTGAAACACACAAAACACACACATATTCAAACAACATCCTTGCACAGAAAAATTCCAGAGACACTCATTAGCGTTACAAATCCCAATATCATTATTAAAAAATAAATGTTCTTTTCTGGCATCTAACACAGATTATAATTCCCTGGAACACTCATTTACTGTAATTATTCCCATAACTAAAAGCCAGATTGTTGTGCCTGAAGCGTCCTTTGGAGGGCGATAGAAGAACACGTGTAAACGCTCACAAGAGCAGGGGAGATCAGATAAGGAAGAGGAATGAACAAAAGAGGAGATGTCCTGCTGTCCCACCAAAACTTCAAACGGCAAGCGAACACAGCCGAAGAAGCAAAACACAACAATAAAGGGAATAAATGTGTGTGAGGAGAGGGGGAGGAGGAGAAAAAGCAGGAGGTCTGCAGCCTGTGGCCTATTTTCCTTTAGTCATGCCTGCTCTGGCTTTTATGTGCACGCTCTGCGATGGGCATTTTACAAACGTGACACAGGTTTGGTTACACGGCAGCCAGGGGGCTGAGGACACAGACTGTGCAAGGGTTTTTCTGTGAAATGTGAGCTTGTTTTTAATTAGCACATGCCTGCACAGAAATGACTTATCATTACAAGCCTGTGCACTGCTGCATGTCTGTGTTCTGCCATGCAGCTGTGTGTGTGATACATACATCACATGCCTGTGCTTCTGTTTGTGTAAAAAAAAAAGACACAGACAAAGAGGCTTGGAACGATAACCGTGTAGTACGCCGCCAACGGATGTGATCCCAGATAAAAGCCACTGAGCAGCCTCTCCTCTTCTTCCTGCTGCCTTCCGGACTGAACAAAAAGGGAGGTACAATCCCTTTTCTTTGCGTCTGCGTCCTGAAAAGCATGGTGGCAGCATGCAGCAGGAGGCAGTAATGGACGAGATGTGGCAAGCCTGTCTTGGCCACAGGCCCGGCGATGCTGGTGAAGTGTCATTACCGGCAGCGTTGCTAATGGATCGGGTACGGCTCCACCGCTCACCGCTAATGAGAGCAGCTAAAGGCCATGGACATGGGTGATTAACTCCCCCACCGTTGCTACACAGAGCCAGGAGGAAGCCCTGGGATGGATGTTAGTGTGCGTTCATATGTGGGTCTTTGAATTTAAGGTTATCGCACCTTCAGGGCTGTCACAGTCCGGACAGGGTGAGGCCGCGTATCCAGACCTCCTGACACATTTTCACATTACCTCTCTGCGTGTCACCCACCCCTCCCTCTTCTTCCCTCTCACCTTCCTGTCACCCTCTCTTTTTTACTCCTTCTCTTTCAACCTGCTGCCTTCTGAAAGGGCCCATCAGATAGTTGAAGTGACCTTCTCCCTGGCGAATCCAGACCACGCATACCAATTTTCTTTGGGACTTGAGGTCTTCGCCTCTCCTCCCCATTAACTTATTCAGTCAACTCACCTGTGAGGGCTGCATGAAAGCAAAAGAAGGAAAGTAAGAGATAATTAGCTATTATCACGATCTCCCTGTCACGGGGAGAACGTCTGTTTGAAATGTTATATTTCTCTGCTGGACTGCAAAAGGAATTTAAATTGCATTTAACGAGAAGATTTAATAAGGTTTTTCCTTCTATCATGACCATTAGTTAACCTATTTAATGTGGCAGGTTGAGCAAAGCATAATTCTGCAATAGCCTGTGTGGCAAGTCAGGGAGGATGTCAAGCCTGGCCATGGTGAATTGGGTTGCCATGGCGATAAAGATGATTTTTGTCCAATTTTGCCTCCTTTAGTACTTCCTTGTTCATAGTCAGGGGATAAGTTTGGGTAATATAAAGCATCCCTAATTGGCGATAAATGTTTTTCAGCTCAGTCCCCCCCACACACACACATACATGTATACTTATACACACTTACACACACTCGGGACCTGAAGCAGATGGTGGGTGGATGCATATGATGAACGGGAGGCTTGAATAGCTTCTTAACGAGGCTGGTGTGAGTAGACTCCTTAAGCCTCTTCTCTGCCACCCCTCTCCGTGACAAACACTCACGACTTCAGTGTAAGTTCAGACTGCAATGCAGCAACGCCACGATGAAAATCCATAGCATAGACAGAAAGACTCTGGTACCACAGTGGATTGGGACTCTGCACCACAATAAGACAATTTATGTTTGGTGGCTACAAGGAGGAAGGAACAGTTTGGGCTTTGAGATTTCCATTGCAACAAGATTTTTTCCCTTTAAATTGTAGCTCTGCAGCATTTCTAAATGACCAAATAAATTATCCACGTCTTGGTCCGTCACTCAGCCGCCGCGCCTATCTATCCTCTCAGTGATGACATGCCACTCTGTTGTATCATCTACAAGGTGAAGGATAACACTTGATCAAGGCAAGAGCATTTCAGTCAGTGTAGGGTTATTAATGGCAGCGCAGCGTGGGGGATGGGCTCTGATGACTATTGATCTGTACTGTGGGTGTCTAACACTGTGGGAACTGTTGGAGGGAATTACAGTACTCTTCCACTTTACTAGGAAAAGCTCCGAATATCCTTGCCTCTGGGCTTTGTTAAGTGCTTACAGCGATTTGTGCCGGTAAAGTCAGACTCTAGCCGCCGGTTTTACAGGAAACACATACGTGTGTGGATGCAAATAGCAGCCCACGAACTGTTTCAAGGGTCTATTTTGAGTTTTAACCACTAGAGGAGTGATGAACTTTTTATGTGAGCACAGACGGGAGGACTTACGCCCTCTTGGGTAAAAAACTACAAAATCTGACAATAATTTCCTCCCAGTTTTAACATCAACATCATTCTAATTTAAGTTTAGGTGACTTTTTATTAGCTGGTTTTTTAATTTCTTTCCAGTACCTGACCATTTTAAGAGGAATTCTGTTTTTCCTTTCTTTCACTGTTTATTCTGACCTATGAATCATTTTGGCACAAAAGGCTCCTAAACCCAAAGAATGAGTCAGTGTTGTGTTGACACACACTAGATACTTAAAAAAACCCTAATAAATAAGATAGTTGAGCACTTTGTTTTCTCGAAGACTGTTCATCTAGATGCTATTTTTACCCTGAAATTTCTTATTTTTTTACTCTTTCTGCCAAGTTTTTTTTTTATTATGAAACTAAACTGCACCATATACTACTGGAAAGTCTGACTCATTGGAAGCAAAGTATAAAGAAAGTTGAGGTTTAAAACTTTTGCACAGCAGCATATGTGGGCTACCTGCTTCCAACAAGCATATAAAACAAACATATTCTGAACTTTCTCTTTTGAACTGGAAGCTTCATACAATTATTTTGAGCACTTGTTGCCAATTTGGAACAGACTTTATTTATGTGAAAATAACATAAAAAGTGAAAATGGAACGCTTCAGACAAAATGTGATAAGTTGCTGCAATAATGAACGGTATCAAAAGAATTTGTGCTATTTTAGAATTTCATTGAACATTAAACTGTGATAGACAATGAATTTGTTCTCAATACTGAAAAACATTATATTTTATGAGCCTAAAATCTATATTAGGCATCTTAACTATCGTTTTTAGAATATATGCTCTTTGTTTTAACAAAACAAAAATGATCTTTACAGATATTTTTCATTATTAGCCATATTTCACACATACTTATTCCAAGCATCCCTTCAGGGGTGCCCAAATGTTTTATGTGGGCCAAAACTATCCAGATGAAAGGACTCGTGGGTCACAAAAATGTGAATTTAACTCTCAACATGAACAATATTTTGGAGAAAGGACAAAAGTTTACTAATGTTGGTGGAGAAAGTTTTAAATTGTTGTAGATCCAAAATATTAAATGCTAAGCTTATATTTTTTATTAAAAAGGGTTTGATTTATTTGATTTGTTGGGTCTATGTTTGTTGTTTTCTTGTGTTTGGAGAGTTCAATTTAATCCGTTTTCAGAAAAAAAAAAAAGCGTAATTTGAGTAAGCGTCTTTTTAAAAGGGGGGGGGGGGGGGTGTCGATCAGCCTTTTTGACCATGGACAGACCAAAAGTCTGATCAAAGTTCCAGCTTCAGGTCGCTACAACAGATTCATAGAAGGCTTGATAAAGTTGATCAACTTGTATGCAGATGATACCACGTTATATTCATTTAAAAACGTCCAGTGTTCCTCTTGATTATTTTATCAACTGCAATATTTAGCCAAGTTTTATGAATAATTATCCAAAAGTCTCCTTTCTGGTAGAAATCAGAAAAAGTTTTTGGTGCTTTGTAACATGAACTGAAAATAAAAAGTTTTGAATTTTGTTTAATATCGCTCATTTTGAGAAGATTGTTTTTTTTTAATCTATTTTACTGTTAAACCTAAACATTATATATAAAAGGATTGCAGAAAGTCTGGATCGAGCTCTTAAGCCTGGTGGCCAAAATGATACCATTCTTAAACTGCGGTTGTGGGCCGCATGAAATCACTCCAAGGGCCACAAATGGCCCGTGGGCTGCACTTTGGACATCCGTGCCTTAAACCCAATCAAAGTGGATCATAAAATGTTTAAATGCCTTAAATAGGGTTGACTTAAAGATCATCCAGACTTTGAGGATTTATCCCAGAGAACAGAGAATGAAGGACACATCTCCAGCCTCTCTGTGAACTTAAGTTAAAAATAGCAATGCATATTAAAGAAATGTAGAAAAATATACTGTCCCTAAAGTCTCAGAGGAGCGAAGGAAACAGCTCAGATAACAGAAGAAAGTGCTTCTCACAAATCTCTTCTAGGGATACAGCACTTGTCAATCACCGCTGTCACCATAACAACAGAGACTTGGGTTCTAGTTGCCACGACGGGAGTAGGATGAAGAGCGCAGAGGGAAGGTCACCTCTTGTCATGTCAAACATCATGTCGCTCACACACGGGCGAAGACACTGACGGGACGCGCAAACACATACAGACACCAACGATGAGACGACAAACACAACGCTTCCACACAAGCAGAGCCTTTAACAGGCGCACATGGCGTGACAGATAGACTCCCGTTAAGTGCTGAGACTTCAAAGACGGTAAATAAATCAGTAACGGAGCAATATGCACCAAACATGAAGCAATAAATCAGCAGGGAGCATAGATGGCATGTTTATGTGTGTCATCCATAAACTGTTAGCCTGAGGTTCTTTAGCATTCTGTAATCAAGTTGTTTGAGCCAAACAGACACCGAACTGAACTGGAAAACAGAACGTTTTCTGGAGGAGAAGCTAAATTCCAAAGCCGTGACCATTAGGCGCCGGTTATACCATTCCTCTTCGCTGTGCCACTCCTTTTGGAGGATACACGCTGCAGAATAACAGCGTTCTCGGAAAGCTATGGTCACCACACCGGTGTCACAGTTTGGGTGGACAGAGAACATTTGGTTCCCTCTCTCTCTTTTAAGAGAGAACAAGGAAGCCGCAGCTATAATAAAAAGAAAACAAAAAACAGCTGCAGCGAGCCATGGAACAGCCATGATTATTCTGAGGTGTGGCTTCTCCTGCCAGAGCTGGTCAGGATAAGTTGTTGACTCTGGAGACGCCGCTCGCTGCAGGTGCTCCTCTGTGGCGCAGTCAAAGTCACGTGACCGGTGGGGGCAATCAAAACAACCTCACCACATGTGTGTACACTTGAGGAATGTGCATGAAGGGTGTGCGGTGTCACGTTTACTACACGGATAGTTGCATGTCCTGGTTCCTGAGCCTTTTTCAGCAGGCTTTTCCAATTAGGATGAAAGAAAGGGCTTTCACATCTGGCTAAGAATCAGCTTTGCAGGAAACACGTCTCAATCCCCGTTGATGATCGAGAGAGGCATGCTGTGTGAGGCGCTCAGCCATGGAGAAGTTATGCTACACAGCACATAGCCTCAGGAAAGCTAAGCAGGCAGAAAGAGGGTAAACCAGACATGAAAAAGTGGGAAAGAAATCCCACTTTCTTCTATAATACAACCCATCAAACATCAGAAGCCATCATCGTAGATTAGCCCATCTCTAATCCTGGCTGTTAGCACAGCTGGGGCAGATTAGGAAGGGGGGGAGCATTTCTGACAGAGTCAACATGGCGTCACAGTCGCTGACAGCTCACCTGGAAACACATGGGTAACTGTACAATACAGCGCTGTTTCAATCATGCACACGGAGATCAAACATACTGCCGGAGCAAAGCTGTCTGCTTGTCTGCCCCCAGGCAGCGGGGTTAGGGCAACAAGTCAAGCTTCAGAACTGTGTGACACCTCTAAGTCGACTTGATCCTCCAACAGGGGGGAGTTCATGGTTTGGGGACAGCAACTGTACGGCAAGTGAGTGAGCACAATAAGACAAGCTGATGGAGCGATGGTGCGCGATTTAGGCGAGAGCGACGGAAAGTGTGAGAAAGAACCAGAAATTAGAGGGTGAAAGTGAAGTAATAGAGGAGTTTGTCAAACTGGTGAGCCTCACAGGAAATCTGTTTAATGTAGAAGATTAGGGAGGAAATGCGCTCTTTCAGCGTCTGCACAACGATTAAAACAAATGATTCGACAGCTTCATGAATCGTGGCTGAGAAAACGGTCTGAGACGAGTTTGTTCAACAGAAGGTAAAACAATGTTTTGACTCATTTTGTTTTTTTGTGTTTCTGAGCTAAATTAAAAATGCTCACGAAGATAAAAAGCCTTCAACTTTTTCATCCTGACCCAATTCCAGCAAAAATGGTCACACTGGCTGATAATCAAATAATAAAGTGCATTTAATTAGCAGCTCTTGGCAGCTACTTACGCTGTTAATTTCTAGAGAAGCGGTAAGGGTGAACTTAGTTTTCACACACTGCCTCTTTATTTAAATGAACTTTATTAAACAAATACTGACAGGGTGTAATACGTTACATGTGTTGTTAAATTGAGGTTGTATTCTCCTCTTTTTAAGACTCAGTGAGACCTAGATGGTTAAAAAATGTCCAAATATGTTAAATCTTCTAAAAACAGAAGGTAGTGAATTTGCAACTGGCTGGTTAAATGATCTAAAACTATAAAAATTGTTTTAAATCAACATTGCGCCCAATATTTGCTTTCAACTGATGGTTTAGGGAGTTTGCGTACGGTTGATTTAGGCTCACAAATCTCACTGCTGTGACCTCACAACAGAAGCGGAAGATGCCCTCGTGTATCAGCATTTCTTTGTAGTCAATTTCTAAGTTTGTACATTTGATTCAATTCGTTTCAAAAATACTATATTAATCCCAAAAGGAATTAATTGTTGTTGTAGCTCATCCTGGCATCATTAAGAGATGTAATAGATGCTGATGGCTGTGGGCAGGAAGGATATCTTGTAGCGGTTCGTCCCACAGCGGATATGAAGAAACTGGCTGCAGATGCTGATCCGTCCACCCAGACTCAGCAGACCTCTCAGTCGTCTTGGGCAACAGGACTACCTGAATGCCGGGCAGAACTCCTCCCCGAGCAATGGCCATTCCTCCCAGCAGCCTGCCAGAGGACGATCTTGGTCCTCCCATTGTCACGAGCCACTTTTCTCACCACCTCCAAGATCTCGGCGGTCAGGCACTCAAGCACTGCCTCCAGGTAGATGGGAATGCATCTACGGCACCTCCTTTTCAACTCATTTGTAATTTGGGGCTGTAGTTGAGGTATTATTTGGGTTTTTGAGACGTTGATCAGCAGCTCCCAGTTATAGAAACCCACTTTGTTGTCATGGATATGCATCATAACAAATGTCCAAAAAAAAAAAAAAATGTTTCAGTAAAAATCCTTCCAGCTGAGTAAATAATCATCTGAAAAAAAGTGATTTACATCCAGAAAAAAGAGAAAGTTTTCAAAAGCAAAATCTCAGACTGAATGTAAGAGAGCTACTCCAACATGCAGCCACCTTGAGCGGCACAATCCTAGAATCTAGAATGGTGACAGTGGCAGCTACGTGAGCCTGCGTGGGACAATTAGTGCAATTTGTGGTGGCACAATAAGTAGTACTCACACTTCCTGTAGTGCCCAGGGACAGATGGTTCATCTGCTGGGTGATAGGGCCCATCATGCTGGCAGGTTGCATGGACATAGTGTGGTCCATGGCTGGCGTGATCACTGCACCCTGGAGCAAGAAGATAAAAGATAAGGAAGAGGAGGATGAAATGATGAAGGCCGTGCAAATTCCTTTCCAGATTAAGATCTGAGCTTTATGAGGTTTTTACCCTTTCTAGAATTACTATGTAAATTCTTAAGGTCCACTTTTTTATTCTCACTAGGTAGCTAGCCATGCTGTCCATGTACAAATTACATAAATGTTTTAAAGGCAAAACAATTAGTGATAACCAACTAATGGCTCTCAGGCCATATCTGTCTACAAGACTAATCATTCTGACCTGTGAAGTAAAAGAAAAGATTAATTATGCACAATCCAATACAAGAATCAGGCATTACTCAGCCTATGAAAGTAGTGATAGCAGCAGTGGCTTAGCCATCAGAGCTCTTACAACACATGATCAGGCCCCTCTGAACTGACAACAAGTTTTAAGCGTAGAACGGTTGGTTTGCTCAGCAGGAGGTGAGAGGTGCTAAAGCTCCAGAGAACTGAGATCAACATTTATTTTTCATGCAGATTTTAGCTTCTTTCCTCTGTATTTGTTTTGTGTTGTCGCTGTACAGCTGGAGCGGGTGCACTGCAAGTAGTCAAAATAAATGCAGTTAAAATAACAATAAAATTGTGGGGGCGAGGGGGGGGGGGGTGTCAGCCATTATTGCTCAACTCTCTAGCATTTTATTACATTTATTTCCTTACTGTGTTAATGTTGACTCAGTTCAAAAACATTGCTCTTTTTTTTTTTTTTCAAATTTGGTTCTTTTGCTTCTTTTAGACCCCGCCCCTCACACAGTGATTGCTGGACATGGGCACAGGTGACCCCCGTGACCCAAAATGAAAGAAGCGGGTAAAAGATAATGGATGGATGGATGGATGCTTCTTTTAGCTTTAAGCTAGCCTTTTGCTACTCGCCAGCCATTTTTCATTCAACCTTTATTTACAAAATACTTCTAACTGGAATTGCTATTTTAGTTAGCTTGTTGCAACTTCTAACTTCTCGCTATAATTTTTGATATTTTTAGCTGTTTTTGCTAAATTTTTAGCTACCTTTTATTTTTTTTTTGCTAGCAATTTTCTACTTTTAGTTTTTAGCTAGCCTTTTGCATCATTTAGGTGATTACTACTGATTTTAAGTTTTGGATAGACTTTGCTACTTTAAGTTAGTGTTTTGTTACTATTGGATTTTTCACCTGACATTGTGCTGCTTTTAGCATTAAGCAGGTGTTTTGCTCCTTTTAGCTACTATCCTGTTTTTTTTAGATTTAACAACCCTGTTTCAGCATCTTCAGGAAATTTCAGCAGTCATTCAACACTCAGCAATCAGAGTACTTAGCAGAAAATGCTATTTCTCCAGTTTTATTTAGCATTATTCAAGTTCATTTAATATCATTTGATTAAAGGTCATACCCAATTTTTTTTAAATAAAAAAAAAATAAAAAAATTGAAAAAGTGATTAACACGTTTAAAAAAATAGGTAAAAGCATGAAACAGACCTCTCTTTTTGATCTACTGCCTCTGAAGCTTGACTCTGAATAAGTGGGTAAAAATAAATGGAAGGGAGACTAATCGATGCCTGGCCCCTGCACTGTTGTCTTAGTAAAACTCTGGCCCTTTAGCAAATTGATTACGGATGATACGTGTTTGTATCGACAGAGCAAGAAGTGACACGAAAAAAATTACAGAGGTGAACTGATTTTTCAAGTGAGAGTGTGAGACATTGAGGAAAACAAACCTAAACCAGAAAGACAGTAAGAAAGAAAAGTGGGCTGAAATGTCAAAAAGTTATGAGCTATAAAACAGGAAGAGAGAAATTGGGTTTTGGTGAAGGTAACAGCCAGAGAGGAATGAATGAAGAGGGACAGCATCAATAAACAGAACACAGGGACATTTTATAGATCAATACACACTACTGCTATCCTCAGTCCATCAAAACCATCAATATCTGCAGCTGGTGGATCAACAGTGGTTGTTTGGAGGCTGCCTCTCACTCACGCCGGAGCCTCCTCCTCGTGGTAAAAAGCACAGCGTGTTTTCCCTAATGGGCGGATGAGAACCATCGACGCTTCTTTTTCCATGGTGCAGCGAAACATGAGGGAAAGTGATGAAACCATTGTTGCGCTTTCATCCCTTGTCATGATAGCTCCATTTCCTCAGTACTGAAGCCTCGGGAGGAACGCATTTAAAACAGGTTCTTTTCCTCAGTTCGCCTCGCCTCTCTTCTTCCTTTGTGCGTGCGTCTGTACTGTAAGTGTGCCTGCGAGTGTAAGCCTGTAACACACCGTGTGCAACTTGACTGACGGCGTCTGTGAGTGTATGAGCGCCGAGCTCAGTAGAGTGCATGTGTCGGAGTGTGTGCATGTGTGTGCATCCCACCAGTGACTCTGTGTGGGCCTATTGGAGAACAAACTGTGCAGACACAGCCTGTCAGAAGCGCTCTGCTTGTCTACACCCTGCACTCTCAACACAGTCAGCTAACTCTTTCTTTTCATTTCTTCCTCCTGTCTTCCTCCGTCTCCTAAATGTGCAACCTTCATGTGATTCCTGTTGGATTTACAACATCAGGCAGGAAGAACGGAATCGTATAAAGTGCTGAAATCAGTGAAGGAGGAAATGTTCATTTTGTACCAGCTCTTAGGTGATTTACAAAAAGTTCAAGATAAAATAAACAATTGGACTTTATTTGTAACCGAAGATGTTTTGCTTCTCATCTGAGGAGCTTTCTCAATATGTGGGGTTCGAGTTATAAAGCTGAGGTAAGCTAGATACATATGCAGATTGCCATATCACACCTCACAGTAGGGGCTCGTTAGGGTCTTTGTTAGTTTGACCCACAGATGGACTCTGGTCACATGGATGAAATTTCTGATAGAGTGAAAATGACTGGTATCAGGCCTAAAGCTGCATTATAAGTTTTTGAAAATTGAAATCTGAGACCTTTGCTTAAAGATGTTTTTTCTCCTTTTACATAAATGGTTTCCTTCACGGGCAGCAAGGTGGCGCAACTGGTAGAGCTGCTGCTTCTCAGCGAGCAGGTCCCTGGTTTAAATCCCAGTCCGGGGGCCTTTCTGGGTGGAGTTTGCATGTTCTCTCCGTGCATGCATGAGTTTTCTCCGGGTACTCCGGTTTCCTCCCGCAGACCAAAAATATGCATGTTCGGCTGATTGTTAACTCTAAATTGTCCCAAGGTGTGAGTGAGAGAGTGAATGGTTGTTTGTCTCTATTTGACCCTGTGATGGACTTGCGACCTGTCCAGGGTGTACCCCGCTCCTCGCACAGTGATTGCTGGACATGGGCACCGGTGATCCCCGTGACCCAAAATGGAAGAAGCGGGTAAAATATAATGTATGTATGTATGGATGGCTTCCTTCACTCCCCTCTCAAACCGTGATAGTACAATCTACATATGTATCTAGCTTCAGCTTTATAACTCGAACCACACTCTGCTTTTTGAATCGAAAAAGCTCCTCGGATGAGAGTCGAAACATCTTCCATTACAAATAAAGTCCAATTGTTTTTGTCTTGAACTTTTATGAAATCAATCAATCAAACAATATTATTGTTTATCGCAATAATTTCTTAGACAATTAATCACTCAGAATAATTTGTCATCGTGACAAGCCTAGCTCTTAGGTGGTTTAAAGTTATGTTTTAAATATAGTAGGTTACTCTGTGGCGACCATCTTGTATTGGGTTGACTCCAAAATTTAAATTTTTTTTCAAATGAACGTGCATAAAATCTGAATGAAAAAAAAAAAGTAATTTAAATGTGACCAGAAAAGCATTTCCTATGAAATATAGCAAAATATGACTATAAGTATGCATTAAATAGAAAATGCCTGGTACTTAGCACCACTCTACCTCTAGGTGTGATAGAAAAAGCAAGAAAAGGAAACGAATGGAAGAAAGAGCAAGACCGAGTGAGGACTGGTGAAAGATGATTAGGAAGAGAGCTGATGGAGGTCGTGTGGAATATAGTCAGAGGAAAAAATGAACCGGAGGAGGATGGAGAGAGAATTAGAGAAAAGTAAAACTGGGAGGCAAAGTAAGGAAAAAAGAAAGAAAAGGTGTGAGAAGGAGAAAGAAGGAAGAAGCAGGAGCTCTGGGCTACCTGTTACTAATTCAGCCTCTGAACAATGCCTTTATAATGGGAAAGGGAGAGCAACGGAAAGGCTTAATTCACAGACGTGTCAGGGAGAGTTAAGCCGATTTGTGATTTCGATTTTCTACGTTTGTGCGCCTGTGTGCCAGGGAGAAAGTGAGTTTCAGAGTGTGTATGTTCGCGTGTGTGCTGGTCTGCCATTGACAGGCTCGAGAGAAAAGAAAATGAGAAAGAGATTGACACACACACACACACATACACACACACACACACACACACAAAGACAATATATGTTTCTGATTTGTCCTGCGTGAGAGGGAGAGACAGATAATGGATGCTGCGGACGCATCCGTTACAAACATATGAGATGATGTTTACAGAGCTCCTGAATGTATGCACATGATTTGGTGGGAGGTATTGATCCTCCTCTAGACAGGAGATGAGATGATATCACCTCCCCGGTTGTAAAGTACAATGATATACACTCACCAACCTGACAGAATGCACAACAAATAAAATAAAAATTCCTATGACCGTGTTGTTTTAAAGGAACTCTCACCGACGTTAGAAAAATCGCACTGGCCGGTGAAACACTGATCAGTGTGCGCCGATATTCATTACCTGGCCTTTAAATGTGCTGATCAGAAATAAAAACTGAGCAGGTGGGACTCGTACATAAATGTCAAGCAAATAGTGGCTGTTTTTACTGCCTGATCCATTATGGCTGAAGGATGTCCAGCACATTCAGTAGGCTGTTAAAGTGATTTACATTCTGGCCTGGGCTTACTGAGACTCAACATGAGGGGAGTTAGGAAGAATGTTCAAGCTGCAAGAATCAAAGAGGAGAAACATCTCTCCTAACTAAAAGTTTGATTAATTTTAGCACAAGAATATCAATATGACGAGATCCTTT